TCTGCTGGCCCAAAGAGCAAACATCAGTTGCGTCCTACATAGAAAAAATTAAGAGCGCTGCGCCTGCTACGAAATCAGCTTCGCCATCATGGCATCAGACATGATTTCCAGATCTAATCACCTGGTGGGATCTTGGTTTCAACATACCGGCCGGTGGGCTCAGCTAAAGAGGACCGTGGCTGCAACACAAAGTTTAAAGATGCTATGTTCCTGGTTTTCATTTTGAAACTTCCTCGAAATTTCCTTCACCAGCATATCTTAAACTATAATATTCAATATGTTTTATTCCAACCACTGTTTGCTGTCTGTGTTCGAACGTTTAGTCGTAAACACTCACACCGACACCAATTGAACCCTTCCTTTAAGAAATCAACTCGCACTGTGAGTTCATTCAGTCTGGGCTTTGCACATCGAAAAGATTGCAAAGAACTGTCCGGCCGTTTGTCCTTTTTCGCCAACTGTTGCAAAAAAAGCATTGGGCCAGGAAGTCTCTCTTGATCTTCCCAAATGGCTGGGTCCCGCAATTGGTGCAAACGCACAAAAAATTGTATAGTGGTGTTCATCAAGTCCACACCACATAAAGACTACTTGCACCAAAATCCGCTCATTGTCAAATCACTCAAAAATGATCTTGTCCACATCGAAGCCCTTGCCAGATTCTTTGGCCTTCGTGTACGATGGGTAGATCGTCTGCGAGGGGTGGTGCACGATCTTCCTCCAAGTTTTCCCTTTCAAGTTGCCGCTCTGGCGTGTCCATTCGAAGACCTGCCGGACTAGACTGACTAAAGCAAAAGGTTGCGGGCGCGATTCAACATCATAGAAGAGATCACAGAAACAGCAATTCCTAACCTAACAGAATTTGCAGCATTGAACAAAGCTAACCTAACCCACAAACAGAACACTAGCCTCCCAATCACCCGTGGCATCTTTAAAGGATCTCTCGGCGTCGGGGTACCAACCGGCAGCGGAATCAGGACCAGTGGAGGCACTAGGTTCTTTGGCTTGCTCAGGTTTGGAGTGCGCTGGTGCTTCCTTTTTTTTGTTTTTTCTCTGGTGCTTTGCTGACAGCATGAGAAGCAGCAGGCCTTTTCATGCAAGTTTTCAGCATTGCAGCTGGTCGTCTCTTAATTTCTGGCTGTTCTTGCTCTGCAATTTCTTCTCCCGGTTCAATGTCGCTTTCTTGGAAGAGTGTCTGCAAAGAATCGTCCATGAACTGCTCGGGCTGCAAGGGCGCCGAAGTACTGCCTTGGGGGAGTTGCTCCGTGGGAGGGGCAATTTCACCCTCGAAGGACTTTGTGTTCGCAAACTCGTCTGGCAATAGTGCTGGTAGGGAAGGCGAAGGGTTCTGTCTGACATGTTCAGGCGGTGTGTTCAACAAACTATTCGAACTTTGCGTTGAGAAGCCACCACTGTCTGCTTTCAACCTGTCCGTAGTTGAAGGCGAGTAGAGCGCTGCTGAATCTAAAGCACTGTCGCGAGCCCAATGCTGAGCCATTCGGCGCAGCGCCGCGTCACGAATTGCAGCAGCATCGCGGCTCATTTCCATAGCTACGCGAAACCAACAAACACCTTCGACTACTAGTACTAGCGCTACTAGCAGTTGCTGAATATGCGCGGTTGCAGAAAAACATTCAGGGCTCATAGGTCGTCAGCAAAACCCCGGTGCACATTGTGTGAACATAAACTTGTACGCGTTAATGCATGTGCGAATGTAAGAAAGCATGAGGCAATAACAATAAATGAATGAAGGCCTGAATGCAATGCATGAGTGTGTCACACATGCTCTGTCTTTGTTTCTTTCTTCTGATGATTCTCCTTTCTCTCTCCCTTTCTCTCTCTCTCTCTGTCTCTTTTTCTCTCTCTCTCTCTCTCTCTGTCTCGCTCACTCTGGGCAATTGCTTAAATGTGTCACAAACTTTCTGTCTTTGTTTCTTTCTTCTGGTGTCTCTCCTTTAACTTGACTTTCCCTCTCTCTCTCTCTCACTCGTTTTCTCTCACTCGTTCTCTCTCTCTCTCTCTATCTGTCACTCTCTCTGTCTCGCTCCTCGGTTCTGGCAAATGATGGATGAATTATTGAATATTGGCTGACAAGTGATGGGCTCTGGACAGATCGATCGGCTCGAACGAAAAAAAGGATGGATCGATAGTTATTTGGATAGCTTTTTGGGCAAACTCTCAATGCGCCTGACCTCCATGAAGAAAACAACAACATCTCACAATATCAAAACGAGATACGTGTATATAAGCTCCTTCAAAACCACACTGTGTGTGTGTGTGCGAAACTCTCTCTCAAAGCGACAGAAGCACCGTTTCACATAGTTGCCCGATACACAAACACAACAATTGAACAATCAAGCGCTTTCGTTTGTTTCGTCATTTGGGTTTCGCAAGCAAGTCAAGACTGGAAACTAGCCCCAGGGATCTAATTTCCGATCCTTTGCTTTTCAGGACACTTAATTAATGCCAAACAAAACCTTCAAGGCGTTGTAGTCTTGCTCATACGTATCTGGATATTTGCCCGGGCCAAACGGCTCAGGAAACAGGATGGGCCCTGGCTCTCGCGCCACAATCACTGGATGGCCACATTGAAGCGCCGCCCTCACGGATAGGGATATCTCACCAGGGCGGTAAACCAACGGCCACTGCGGGAGGAACAAAGGACCATCTTCCCAAACAGTTTCCAAGTCGATGGGTTCCGCTTCAGATTCAAGGGAATCTGGTCCCCAAACAAACTCACCGATGTGCTCTTTCATGCGGCGCAATTTGGGCGTGCACTTCTTGGATCTTCTCTTCAGCCACAGGCGGTGTTTGGCTCTCCATGGGACAAATCGAGGTTGGCGTGCCATGACCTTTGGTAAGTAGAAATTGGCCAACCTTGCTCCCTTACTCTTAAACTCTTGAACTCAAAACGGTCAAGACAAGCGCAAAGCGTTGAACACAGAATTGGCAAGAAACTGAGCTCGAAGTCTGCTGTGAGGCTACCTAGCTCAAAAAAACAGTGAACTAGGCATCCGATGCGTCTAATGTTTGCTTTCTTTTTTTCAAGCCCCAAGGTCTTGAGTCTTTCGCTCGTACCCCGTCACATGATAGGTGGCTCAAACTCCTTTCCCAACAACTGCTAAACGACACATTGAAATGTCTGCAATCGCAAATATGGGTTCCGGCTATAAGCAAATGCGCTAAGTGCATAGTTACGCTGTGATATGGAAAGAAAGCCACGGCATGTGACACCAGGACTAGGCGATCTCTACCGGCTCCTTGGCCTTGAGGCTAAGAGCCTTGGATGTCAGCACGTATGGTTTTTGAATTTTCAGGCAGGCGTGTACCCGCTCGAACCTCCACCGAAATACGCCTCGCACACACTTGGAGCTGCTAACTGCCGCCACGCTCTGGCTGAAGAAGTTTTTCATCGTGGCAGACTTAGTGGTGTCTGCCATACACTGGTACTGCATCCGATCCTTGAACGTCACCTTGAATGAATCGGGAGAGCTGGAAGTGGAGTCTGTGACGCGAGTGACCTCGGACCTTCTTGACGGATTCCAAGTGCACAAGAAGTTTGTACAGTGTAAGGCATTCAACCTGAGTCGACTCGGCGTTGATGGATGACATGTCCATGAGACACTGTGTGCGGTCTCCCTCTGGCCACACGAGTTCCACTCCGCTCTGGCCATCCGCACAAGCCACATACCTTGAATTTGGCATTTGAAACAAGCCTTTCAAATGTTGGATACAAAACCGAGCGCGCAGTACAAAACGACCACAACATGTAACCCGGTAACTCATCACGAACAATGACGTAAACATAGATCTGGTCCCCAATCTAACCTGTCACCCACTATGTCCCCCCCTTCTTGCGGCATACCTTCGTACATACCAGAACAAAAAGAACAATGATGCCTCCATTGATAACAAGATACTTTCCTGTTCCGTATCCTCCAAGCAAAGTCCACTTGGCAAGAACCCGCTCTTTCTGCGAAATCAAGTACAATTTTCCCGACTTGGTCCGAATGAGCTCAATGCCACTGACCTCTGATTGACAGCGGGACAGGATGGGGTCAACCTCAGCGAGCTTCTGCTCAGAAGAAAAGGTCACAGGTCCAGGTGCATCCTCACCAGAATCTGTAGGACCAGGAGCATCAGGAGTGGCGCCGCCGTCAACATCACCATCATCTGCCACTGGCTGGGGGGGGTTCGCTCCCGAAGCTCCGCCCTGAGAAGAGATCGCATCTTTCAGCATGCGCATGTAGCGGGCATCGTGGTCAGCTTTCAACGTAGCAAACTTCTCGCCAAACTCACTTCCGGCATTTGTCCACTGTCGTACTTGGTCCGGGTGTACAACAATTGTCGTACCTTGGCGAACGCACGCTTTGAGACCCATTGCATCGATTGCGTAGATATACTCTGCTCCGGGGATGCTTTTGATCTCCTGCCAACCAATCAACAAGGGGGAAGCAAGTCAAAACAAGAAGAAAGCTGAAACAACTGACCCACAGCACACTTCATTCATAGTTGTTTGCGCGTTCGAACTCTCTTAATCTTTGACTTTTTAAAATTCTGTCCACAGAACAGGTTTGGCTACCAGTCCTGGTCGCTCAAAGTGATCTCAGTGTCATCGTACCGGCGCCCCTCAACTTCAAGGCGCTTCGAAAGCCACGCGTCCAGCAATTCCCGCGCCACTCGGCGACGAGCATACTCGTTGCCACTTGCTGTGTCCAGCGTGTGGACAGACAAATACCACATATCTGCAAAGCTGAAGCCGAGCTCCCCAGACACACTGCCTTTCGTGCGAAGATTCAGTACCTCAAGCAATTTTGATTCCCACAAAACCCATTCAAGCTCAAAGAAAGAAAGAACAAATGCGAGAAGAAACTAACTTTCTTCGGCGCACGCAGCATTGTGTCTGACATTAAAACAAACACGCTGAAGCCCCAGAAATAGAAAGATGCCCGAAACCAACAAAAATTGGTGACCGCCACAAGAATGCAAGCGAAGCACAGCAAGAGCCAGTTCCTCCACATACCCAGTCCAGTTTACCACCAGCACAGGGCCCTTCAAAGGAGTGTACTTAATCAAGCTCTCCAGGAGGAGCTGTAGCCGAGACGCTCCCTTCTGTGCGCTTTGCTGCTCAGGAGAGGGACGGGACCTCTCTGACAAGCGAAGGTCAGACTCCGGGGAGGCAGACTCTGGCAGGAGGAGGCTTGAAGCTTTGGGCAGCACTGATGTAGGTGCCCCAACAACTCCTTCGTTTGCGGAAACCGGGCGCCCACAGACTGCCAACTCGCTCTGAAGCCACTGGTTGGATTCGATGGTGTCACCGTTGACCACTATGCGTCCACTGCTGAACCTTCGGACATTGCTCCTGCCTTCAACATGTTTTTTCCCTCGTGAGCAAGTCGATCCAACGCGTTTCAACGTGTTGACGAAGCCCGAAGCATGCCTCTAGAATGCCCTTTTCTTCGTCAAAAAGTCCACGCAAACAGCTGTCTCTGGCATGGTCCGGAAGGCACATCAGGGTGCAATTCAAAGCAGGATTCCCAGTGTCGTTCACAATCGACATTGCCTGGGTGAGCGCCTGGACTGCCTTGCCACCCCTAGCGCCGGGGACATTGAAGTCAATGAAGCCAACCGTGGAAACCATATCCAATCCAACTCCACTGTCTTCCGCCTCTAGCAAAAGTTGACTAGGTGGAAAACTGGAAAATTAAAACCGTGTTCAAATCCGGAATCAACAAACACATGGGGAAACAAATGTCAAAGTGGGTTCTGGTTCCACAACCAGTTGCGATCTGAAGCTTGATCTTGCTGATCTCGGATTTTGCAAGCTGCACAGAGTCACATGCCATTACTCGCAAGTACTTGTCCTCCAACAGGGTTTGCCTGGTTTCCCTCAGCCTTACTTGGATTTTTTGCACACATCCAAAAGCTTTGACACCTTTACTATGTACAATGCACCATTCGGTCGAAAACTACTAAAACACCTTTGGATAGGTAGGTGTTCGCAACCGAGTCCTGGTAGTTGGAACAGGCAGATTCAGCAGCCGCAATCAATTTGGAGCGGTGGGCGACTTGCTTCACATGGAGCTTCTGCTTCACCGCGGCGGGGGGCTTTCTGAACGGTCTCCATGAGCGTGTGATCTTGCTCCAAAGCAGTGCAAAAGTATCGGAACTGGGCAGCAACCACTTCCTGCCTTTGAGTCTCAACCAGCTCTGTTTTCTTCCGCTCAGTCTCCTGCAAATCATCTTTCGCTTTGTCCTGGTGTGACAAAAGCATCGACATGGAGAAGGTCTGGGGACGGCGATGTATCAAATGAAGCAAATCTTCATCTCGGCCCAGACCACTTTCCACATCAGAGATCCACTGGCCAAACTCCTCTGGAGTCGTTCTCGACTGAATGTTCCCAGAAATCTGGGAAAACAAAGCGACCAAGTTCCTCATCCGAAGCAACTCTTCCGTTGTCAACCTGTATTTTTTTTTTCAAATGGGTTGGCACCATTCCGGTCACGCGATCGAAAGTCTTCCGCACCCTTGTGAACAGCAACCTCTGGCCCTCTGCGCTCAATGGAAGGGTCCAGTCCAGCGTGATGAACGACTCGTGGGGAAGTGGCTGGGGGGCTGATGGTGTCCATCTCCGGGTCCAAGGGGTCCAATTTCGCCACACTGCCAATGAACATGCCCGGCATGGAGCAAAACCCTTCTCCATAGGGGCCCTGGTTGAAGGGTAGATCGTGTGTGGAACTGATCATCTGACCGAATGCTTCAGGGCTTGTGGATTGAAGCAGGTGCTTGACCGCCTTCCCGGGCAAGGCGAACAAGTTTAGTTCAATATGGGTCAACTAGTACAAAACAACAAAAATTTAGGAACATATAATATACGCATACAAGAATCACTTTGGTTTGATTATTTTCAGCCACCGTCAATCTTGCCTGCTTCTTGCGGTTGTCGAGGGAAATAGGTCCGGCTCCGCCAGATGCTTCGAGAGCAACTACTTCTGGGTGAGAGTTGTACCGCAGCATAGCACTTTCATGTGTTTGCAACTCCATCACTCAGTTGGCGCAAAATGGCGCACCATGCCAGTGAGCTCACTGGTTGTACTCGGGCGTCGATGTTCTGCTTTACGATTCGTGCCACAGCGGAATCAACATCATCTGCATAGCTCCCTGAACTACCCTTCAGGACCGTCCTGATCCGAAGAAGTGAGCTAGCAAAAGCCTGAAGACTTGGACTGTCCCCAAGTTTGCCCTCGTTGTGGCTCAGCTTTGAAGCGATGCACAAGCAGATCCACACGATGAATCCACCAAGGGTCTTCTGGGATCCATCATTGAAGTACAAACTGCCAAGCGCCAGGTTCACCGGCTTCAATGTCCCGCAAGGCAAGCGAAGTGTCACGGTCTCTCCCTGCCATGATTTCAAACAAGCGCGCGCATCCATTACTATTAACTGACTTTCCTCCAAACCAACCCATTCAATTTGGGCTACGGGTTCTTTTCAAGCCCATGATACAATGTGGGCCTGCTTTCACAGCCCGGGAAAAGCAACAGAGTTGTGAAAGAAAAAAGGAGGAGATTGCCTGTCACTGTGTGCCTTGTGTCTCTCAACCTCACCGGGAATGAACTAACATTTTCGATGTATCAACAAGGGCGCGGGAAATGCAGACATCTAGAAAACACTCCAGCACACCTTGAAAAAGGATTTGTTTTTTTCTTGAAAAGCACAAATGAAGCCAAATGAAGCCACGTAACAACACCGGTCTGGTGCTTCTCAAGTACTTGTGGGGCCCGGGAACTTGAAGGACCTGGCTTACGTAATATGGCCCGGGAACTCTTAGGTTCTTTTGGGTCCGGGAACTTGAAGGAATGGGATGTAATTCCTGGAAAGTCAAAATCTATCCATGTTGGCTCATGGCCCAAACACCAAATCATGGAGAGCTACTCGCTGAGTAGCTATCCATGACTAGACATGCACATATGCAAGGGAATTTCCGGGCCCTTGCCCAAAACTTTGGCACGTGAGATCCGGCTCTCCATGACCCCAGGATCATGGAGAGCTACTCGCTGAGTAGCTCTCCATGATTCCATTGAATCTGACCCCCACATCCCGGATAGTCTATGGTAACTTACGCTGCCGCACCTAAAATGCCACAACGTTTAGGGTTTAGGGTTTTCCCGGGCTAAGATTCTTAGTTGAAAATTCTCTTACGCTCGATTCGTGATTTTCCGGAATGATTGGTTTTGGATTTTCTCGGCGTGATTTGTGGTTAGTGTTTTCTTTTCTGATTTTTTCCGGTGTGACTTCCCCTGCCCTGACAATTCCAAAAAGCCAAAAACTTATTTCCCGAAGCCTGCTATTCTTGAAACAGGATCACCTACTACCCAGCGCCAAATGCAAACAGCGTAAAGTCATCACTTCAGAAACCCCGCCTCTCTGAAGCGGCTGGACGCAATCGAATGGGCAAAGTTCACAACCTCGCTCATGGCCACGGATGGCCCACGCCAAAATGCATGATCCGAGTACGACCAAGAGAGCACTGATGTCTGGAAGCTCTCGGATTTCTCAGGTGGCCATACCTCGCGAAGAGCTGGTCAGATGCTGTCGTGAATGTTTCGGGAACGAGGTAACATCACAACAAAAGAAGTCCTGGCAACCTTCTCAAAATAAGGACCCTTCCATTTCAGTGGGCATATAAATGTCTTTGGGCGAGATGCATCGATTTTGCAAAACTGCTGCAAAAAACTCAGCATCATCTTGGACATCAAGAAGACCGAGGTGGAAACAAAGCTCTGTGGAGATGTTCACAAGTAAGTCAGTGTCCTTCATAGCACGTTCGGCAATTTCTTTGAACGTGCCACCGTGTAAAACGGGCCACGGAAACAGCCCATTCCCCTCAAGTGGTAGGATGCCACGAGGCTCTGAGTAGACGTCAGTCTCTGTGGCGTGCCTCAATGAGTACAGGTCCTCAACAAGCGTTGCGCAATCTCGCTGAACTTGGTGCAGCGCATCAACAGATGTGGCATTGACGGGCGTTGCTGCCCCGGCTGCGAAAGACTGCGCCAGCGCTGCCCCGCGCTGTTTCTTTCTCGGCGGCATTGGTATGGGCTCAACAAAGGGCGCGGGCCCAAGGCAAAAAGGACTTCGAAACAAACATTCCACATGCCAATCTAACTCAGTACGTTCAAAACAACTTACATCTCACGCTTTGCAAACGCATACATACCAAATGCTTTGCGCACATTTCCCCCTTGACACACGCTCACACTCACAGCTGCAGCTGGTGCAAATTGCTAATTTAGCATCTCAAAGCATCACTTGCTGTAACGCAAGCAACCTTCTTCCGGATTGAAACAAACTAGATCCCTGGTGCGCGCAAACCAATTGCACTGGGCAAGAAGGTCATGCCGCCATGAGAACAGCAGCATCTTACTGAGGGTCACAAAGTGAGCCACCATGCCACGCGATCAGCGATCCAATCACAAAAGCGCTGCACACAGGTGCGCTAAACCTCAAAAAGACAATCTATTTACCTCAAGCATTGAACGATGTTTGAACAATTTTGAACATGGCCTCAGTGGAATTTGTTGGTTCGCAACCTGAGGACAGAACGCATTCCCTGCCATGTTGCTGAGCTGGCTTGCTGTCAGGTTCTTCATCGAATACCGGTCGAGCTCAGAGCGGCCTACTCCTTGGAGCCGCGCTTTCTCCTGCCCCATATTTCTCCGCAGGAGCACACACTATCAAAAGCTA